GCATAAATTATTAAAACTAACAAGTCAGCTTGCTAGAAACTCTTGTTGCTATCTCTTTTAAATAGACACTGACATGGAAGTTTTTTTCTCATATTGCAGGAATTTGTTTCATGCCCAACGAATTGGTAAGAAGTTTTCTCTGTTGAAATTATAAATGAGGGCTGCTTAGGGTTTCATGCAACACGGGTTTTTAGCAAGCTTACTTGTTGATGAACTTAGGAGCATATTTTGTTGTCATTTGGGTGTGTTTCGAGGGAAATAATGGTGGAGTGGAGATGTGTGCCATTTTTTTGAGTTATTGGGTGTAGAGATAAAAACACCAATGTTTATTTTCTTTTATTTTCTTATTCTTATTTATTTAAGGGCAAACTTGAAAGTTTAGTAGAGAAAATTTTTTAGTTGGGGGTAGAGATAGGATAGTTGGGTCCAAATAAAATTTCTCTAACACAAATAATCATTTTTTGTAACAAGAATATTATCTACATTAAAGGCATGTGTGAGTGGGTTAAGTCTCACACTGGGTTAATCATAATAGGCTAAATTGCCAATTTGTCTTATGAACTATCACTTGACTTTCGATTTCCCCATGAACTTTTTAATTGGAAAATTAAGGACTTAAACTATTTTTTTTGGTCAATTTCCCCCTACCGTTAGTTTTTCATAGATTTTATCCAAATTAACGTTAACTTTTATCACGTGTACACCATGTGATTCTCCTTTGTGGACAAAAGCATCACTTCGCTAGACTTTTAGACACAAAAGTTATATAATCACAAATATTTGCATAGGTTTATATTTTAAAAATCTAAGGTTTTCAATTATTTTAAAGAGTGAAGCGACCAAACTACCCTCACATGTTGTGCACATGCTTCCATTTAACAAAAAATTGGATGGGATGAATGAAAAATTAACAGCAAGGGCAAATCGGCCAAAAAAATTAGTGAAGTCCTTAATTTTCCAATTAAAAAGTTCAAGGACAAATCGAAAATTAGGTGATAGTGGTTTATGGTCGAAACCCCAATCATATCTTGGATCAAGTGTCTGTTCCTCATTTTGGTAGGAATAGCATGGAGGCTGAGGAACTTGCTGACCATATCAAAGAAATCCATGCAAAAGTCAAGTCCGACTTGAGAGGGCCTACAACAACAACAAAAGAGCTGCTGATGCACATAGGCATCATGTGGAGTTCCAAGAAGGTGACTTGGTGATGGCTTATTTAAAAAAAAAAGGTTCCCCACAGACAACAAGTTGAAGAAGATTGGTGCTTGCAGAGTGCTTAAGAAAACTGGGTCCAATGCTTACAAAATTGAACTGCCAGAGGGAATGGAAATAAGTCCCATTTTCAACATCTCTGATCTATATTTGTTCCATGGCGAACCTGAGTTAGTTCCCACAGCCACAAAGTCCCGAAACTACTAATGTCCCTCATGCATATACTAATTCATTGGAAATCCTAGACAAACGTTCAACCTCTACTCGTCGAGGCACCTATGGACAATATCTTACTCGTTGGAAGAACCAACCCTGAGCGAAGCTACATGAATCAGCAAACAAGAACTGCGAGAAGATGATCATAACTTATGGGAATGAATTCACAATCCCGAACTCGATGACGAGTTTTTTTTTTTCGGGATGGGGAGATTGATGCAGCAGACAGTCCTTAAATGTCAAGTTCATGTTTATTAGGAGTACAAGGTTTAATTAAGTTGTCCCTTAGAAATTGTCAAGTTATTGTTGGAGATTGTAAGAGTCTCATAGGAAGTAGGAGTCTTTTAATATTATAAGCCTTCATAATTCTTGTGCTAAAGGGATTGTCGGTCAGACTTTGAATGTAATTGAAAGCTTCTAGCAAACTCTTTGCTCTTTCGATTTTCTGGCTTAGTGAGTCCCAGTCTCTTGCCTGGTTGAGTGATTCCAGAGCTACGATCCTATTAGTTCTCCACTCTTTCTATTGGCTCCCCTACGTTACCAACCCCCACCGCCACCTTTCCTACCACCTACAAAGAAAACCCCAAAGATCTCAACTATCTACCCCTCTCCCAATCGTTCTAACAATCCGACTTATCTGAAATAGTCGACCATTCGAATCTAACGCTATACTAGAAGTAGGATTGGAAGTTGAAAATTGTAAGTTCAAAACTTCAAATCATGTGGTAATCCTCTCCCAATTGTGCTCCGTTGTATCTGTTTGTTTAGTTTGTTGCCTAAATGTAAGGTTTTAAAAACGTATCAAATTTATAACACTCGTCAAGATGAGAATTTGTCGAACCATATTATTGCTAGCTCATTATGAGGCAAGGCCCACTCGCCTACCCCCAATGTGGATCATACCGTTTGTTCAAAAACAAAAAACAAAAAGAGAGAATTTTTCATATATAAGTTAATGCGGATTGAGCAAAACTGAAATTTGGTTATGAGGTGTTTGAACTCCTCCTTGTGTGCCTTGTGGTTTAGGCCAATGAAATTTGAGCAAAACCGAAATTTGGTTATGAGGTGTTTGACTCCCCTACCCCCTTAGTATTTCATTCTAAGCGTTTATTCTGCTTACTATACCAAAAAAAATTCTGGTTTTGGGTACGTCAAATTTGCCTATTGGTGGTGTTGGCTTCCTTGCTTTGCTTTTGGAACCTCAAATTCCCATATAAAGGATGGAGGGTGAGGATGCGGACGCCATTAGCTGCTGCCAAAGATGAACTTATCGAACCTTCTCGACTCGACTTTTTCAGGTAGAGAAAAAAAGAGGTCGGTATTATATTGTATTGTATTTTGTTGGCTCCAAATGTCCCCACCACAAAGTGCCGACCCCTTTGCCCTAAACCTTTAAAAGGTTCCAATTCCATGTTTGTTTTTGACGAAAAAAAAAGCTTTCAATAAATTACAATCAATTTGCGTACAATCAAATATGTATTATTATTTATCTGAATAATACATAGTTGTGGATCTTCATTAATCATGTGACGATCTAGTGGAAGTCGAATTAACATTCTTCAACGAACCAACATCCAGCTCAATGCCATAAGCACGTTTTAGGCATCTGTCGTAAAGACTAACCTCCCAATAATCAGGCCCGTTAAAAAGGGTCAGCTGCCATTAAAAAAAAAAGACAAAGATATTTTCATACAGAACATAATTCAGAGTTAGTTTGTTAGGTCATATCAACCATTCATGCTATGCTATTATACATGCAAAGAAGAAAGAATGCTTTTCAATGAATATTGTATTTCATCTCAAAACAAAAGTATATATACAACCCTATACAATCATGTATATTCCTATCAGAATAAAGGAATGAATAATTACATCCTAAACCAGGAAACCAAATATGGTAGGAATCCTAATACAAGTCAACACTCTCCCTCAAGTTGATGCATAGATGTTACACATGCCCAACTTGTCTAGAAACCTGGAGAACTTGTCACTAGAAACCACCTTAGTGAGAATATATGCTACTTGGTTGTCCGTTCCTATGGGAGGAACCTCAATTACTTTGTTATCTTGCTTCTCTTTAATAAAGAACCTGTCAACCTTTACATGTTTGGTCCTATCATGTTGCACTGGATTATGAGCAATATCACGAGCAACTTTATTGTCACAAAATAACTTCGTCGGCTAACTATGTTAGACCCCCACATCTTGTAACAGAAACTTAAGCCACAAGAGTTCACAAATACAGAGTGCCACACCTCTAAATTTGGCTTCTTCGCTTGACCTTGATACAACATTCTGCTTCTTGCTTCTCCACGTTACTAGATTTCCCCCAACAAAGGTAAAATACCCGAATGTTGAGCGCCTATCATCTGTTGATTCTGCCCAATCAGCATCCGTATAGCACTCAATTCTGAAATGCCCATTTTTTTTGAAATAAAATTCCTTTACCAAGGCTTCCTTTCAAGTAACTCAATATTCTCATAAGTGCACTCATATGTTGTTCTCCTGGATTGTGCATATATTGACTAATTACACTTAAGGCATGAGCAAGATCCGGCCTAGTGTGAGCCAAGTACATCAATCTTCCTACTAACCTTTGATACCTCCCTTTATCAATCGATACTTGGTTCTGATCGATACCCAACTTCATTCCTTCGGCCAACGGAGTAGACACCGGCTTGCACGCCGTCATACGGTTTATTTCAACAGGTCAAGAACATACTTCCTTTGTGATAGAAATATCTCGGACTTGCATCTCGACACTTCAATCCCAAGGAAATATTTCAAAGAACCAAGATCTTTCATTTCAAATTATGTGGACAAATATTTTTTCAAGGCTACTTGCTCAACAGGATCGTTACCAGTAACCACCACATCATCCACATATACGATGAGAGCTGTAACCTTGCCATTCCGGCGTTTCAGGAATAACTTGTGATCCCAATTACTTTGCCTATACTCGAATGCTCTCAAGGACTTGGTAAATCTACCAAACCAGGCTCTTGGAGACTGCTTCAACCCATACAATGATTTCTTAAGCCTACATACCTTTTGTTTCCGTATGTCTGGATCACTCCACCCTAGTGGAATCCATGAAATCTCCTCAGTTAGATCTCCATGGAGGAATGCATTTTTTACATCGAACTGTTGCAAAGGCCAATCTAGATTTGCTGCTAAGGACAATAGAACACGAATTGTATTGATCAATGTAGTCGATGCCATATTTCTGTGTATACCCCTTAGCCACCAATCGTGCTTTAAAGCGATCTATTGTTCCATCTGCTTTGTATTTCACCGTATAAACCCATTTGCATCCCACATATTTCTTTCCAGCTGGCAAGTCAGTTATTTCCCAGGTAGCATTCTTCTTCAACGATCTCAATTTCTCGTTCATTGCATCTTTCCACCGGGAATCTGCTAAGGCCTCATGCACTCTGTTAGGAATAGATACAATAGATAATTGATATACAAATGACTTATTTGATTCTGACAGGTGACAGGTAGACAAATAATTATTTAATGGATATCTCACTCTTGAATCGGAATTTGGCTCACTCATTTTTCAACCAAACTCTAAAGTACATGAACCGTTTAAAAACCCTCACCCACATCCCCATTTGCCGCCAAATCTGAACTCTCATTCATTTCAAGTCTCTCTGTGTGTGACGACTGCCCATCACTCTCTCTCTCTCTCTTTCTCTCTCTCTCTCTCTTCTTGGTGAATACTCGATCTCGTTTTATTATTTTGATTTTTGTTTTTGACAGAGCTTGCGAAGGATTTCCTTTCCAACTTTGCCAATTCGAATGGCGAACCAAATATATGCGCATCCTTGTGAGTTCCCCTCCTCATCTTCTTCATTACCACATCTTATAATAAGCAATGACTGTGCTGTCTGAAAACCCTAATTTCCCGTTGGATTGAATGCCGGATTCATTTTCTAATTTTTTTTTTTTTTGAATTATGCTGCAGCAGTATCTAAATGTTATTTTCCTTTCCAGCAGGAAGTTGCAAACCGCAAATTTCGAGCTATCGAGATTGATATTGAGGACTTGTTCAGTGTAAGTTCCGCCTATGCCTTTTGTTGCCAAGGCCTAAATTATGATTATTGTCTTTGTGAACGACTTGTTAATTTTCTTATACCTCACATGCAGTACACAGAAATGAATGAAGAATCCCGCAATCGAGTTGAAGTGAACACTCGGGCGTTATATTGGTGTATTTGCAGATGGTATTGATGAGCTCATGCCGGAGCCCACGGAGACAGATCATGATCATGACATTCTGATGACTCAGAGGTTTGATGATGGACCAGAGAATATGGATGGTTCGGATCCACATCAGAAGATGCCTCCTGAAGTCAAGCGCTATTTGTGAGTTCAAAGCAAAATCCTAATTCCTATCGCGCTTGTTTGAATGAAATTTCGGTTTACATGTGTGAAAATTCACTTAATTGTGTGGTCGGTAACGGATCATATGCATTTTAATCTTGTTTTGACTAGCTAGTATCTCATGCCAGAAGTTACATTGCATAATCAGTCACTGGACATGTATGGTAACACTTATACACGAACTCCTGTCCTTGCTGCAGCTAATCCAGCACGGTACAAATCTTTCTACTTCTTTTTAATCTGGTTCATTTGGGGCATTACTCTTTGTTGCTTCTCTTCTAAATCATATTGTTCTAGTTATGTGGTACCTTTTTTACTGCTGGAACCTGGAAGCTAACTTTCTTCGTGTAAAATCTATGCGAACTCTTACTATGGTTGCTATATTCTTAAAGGGGGAGAAATAACCTGCGTAGAACTCCTGCTGAAAACATTAATCTTCAACTGGCCCTTTTGTCGAGATTTGATCCTTGATGGTTAATCCTGGATCGAGCAGATAGGGATAGTGATGTTGAGATGGCTAGGCATGTTGTCTATTTTCACCAGAATAAAGTATCACCGGCTCTTGGTTTCAGTCCACTTGAGCCATCAGTTATTCGGTAAATTTTGCAGCACTTTTACCTTGGAAGGCTCAGCAGTACTGATTTCAGGAAGGTTAGTTTTTGCAAAGCATCTTGTGATCGATGGTCAGAGAACTGCACTGCTTATCATGTCAAACAACTAGTACAAAACTTGGAAGTGATAAGAATATAGCTATATAAATCAGAGTAGCAGAAATTCAAAATATATCTCAAAAGTGAAAATACGTGATGATCCTGTCCGAAATTCTACCTATTTTGTCTCAAGCCATGTGGAATGGTTGCTTTGGAACAGGGATACAGTGAAGCCCAACTGAAACAATGTTTGGAGGAATACGCAAACATAAATGTGTGGCAGATTAATCCCCCTTCTTTTGACATCCGGTTTATTGATGCCATTTGAAAGATGAGCGAGTGAGAAGCTACTCAACTCGGCTTCTGTTAAAGGTAGTTGGAGCTTTTCTTAGGAGTGTGGCATGGGTTACTTCATCAACCGTAGCAGCAGAAACATTCCTGTGATGCATCTCATATCATGTCACTTCTGAAATTCATTTCGTCTGCCTCCAGAATCCCGGGCAAGTTCCATGTAGTAATTAAGGAGAACATTACGGAATCAAAGAATGAATTCTAAATCTAATTTATTGGCCACAAATCTATTCAAGGCATAAATATTAAATTAATTCACAAAAACACTGATGACAGTCATTTCCATTTTTTTCCATAATCTACTTCATTACAAAACTCATTCAACCAAAAGCCACGAGGGTCATTCGAAATTAGAATGAGAAATTTTATTTAAACCCATGTAACTTCTTTCTACCCCCAACTTAAATTTTAAATATTAATTATTTTTTTTATCCTATTGCATAATTACCATCAGTCTGAGATAAAACTAAGTGAAATTTTATTGGAATCCATTCAACCTCTTTCTACACCCAATACAAAAAATATTTTCTTAAAATTCCTAATTCACCCTTTGATTAAAACTGAAAAAAGAAATAAACAAAACTGAAATCTCTTTCCACACCCAGCGGTTCTCTTCCACCTCAAACCCCATGGAAGATTCACCGGCGATTCTCCATGGCAACTTCAATTCAAATTCTTTTGGCATCACAACCGCCTTATATGGCACACCATTCAGTTTCCACAAGTTTCCACAAGTTTCTTGTATTTTCAGCTAGATTGTCAAAACTATATGAAAGCTCCCTCATCATCTCTCTCCCTATTAATTCCTTAAATCTCCAGTCGCCAATCTAATGTAATGAAAATATTCCTTGTCCTTGTTTGGCAACACGAAAGCTTGCCCGGGATCACTTGCCAGGCATATTCTAGCAAACAAAGGTGAAAACCTTGGCGAAATCGATTGTAAAACCAAATTTGCACGTAAAATGAACACCACGGATTTCTTAGGATGACGATGTACAACACTGGTTTCCCTCGCTCAATTGGCAGCATTAAGTAAACCTTTTCCGTGTCGTCTGCAGGCAATGGGCCGGGGTTGCCCTTTATTGGGAGACAGCAGACCCGAATTCCACGATGACTTGCTCAGCAACGGTGAGGGGCTTATTGAACTAATGCACAGAGCTTGTCCGGTGGGCATGGGATTGCCTGTGGGAGATGGAATTGCCCATGGCGATGAGTAAATATTAAGGGCTCAAAAGCAAACGAGGAGGATTTGACGATGAGTTGAAGGAACTCGGGTTTTATTCACATTCTATATAGTGGGCTTCTTTTTAGCTTTAGCTTAGCAAGGATTAAGGAGCCTAGGATAGGATAGGTTTCATATGTTCATAGAACCAACAAGGCCCAAGGCCAAGAAACAAACAGAGGAGTGCCCAGCACACCCAGAAACATAACTAAAGAGAAGCAGGATACGAACAGACACCACCACAAAGGTCACCAGCGTCATCCCAAATCCCTATACAAAAAAATCCCCCCACCTAAAGAGGACATGGAAGACAGTCTTTGTTCAAAATACCCACAAACGAAGATGGAGGTTTCATATGTTGGTTAACCAGCTAAAAAGCATTCCAATTTTTACAATCCAAATTCATCGAGCAACAAAACCTACTGACAAAATCTGCCTCGTTCACTAAAAGAAACTATCAAAAAACTCTTTTGTTCCTTTCTTAGCCTGAATGTTCAAAATCTTATTCACATCATTCTGCTCTTCCACCAAATGATCCTGCATACGATTGAACAATAAAAAGTCAATGCAGTGCCTTCATTACCAATTTACTACCACACAAAAATTATAAAAACTGCTTTCATGAATTTTTATTTCCCAACAACAATGTCTTTCCATTTTCTAATCACACAAAAACAAACATAATTGGCAAATTCACGAATTGAATCAAATCCAAACGAAAAATCAAGAGGGTTAAAACAGTGAATATATGCAACCTTCCTCCTCTAAAAAGACTTTCAGAAAAAAATAAATCCCAAAACGACCTCTAAACAAACCCTAATCTGCAAACAGAAGAAAGAAGAATGCCATAATTAATTTTTTTACTCATTGACATTTGAGAGTCCCGAGTTTACCTTTTAAAATGGCAACTCGAATGGTTCCGGCAGGGTGTCATTTTCAGGGAGGGCTGGTGGTCCTCCGTTCCCGTTCCCCTTCCCATTTCCGTTTCCATTGCCGTTGCCTTTTCCGTTGCCATTGCCGTCGCCCTCGCCTTTCCCTTGCCCTTGCCCCTTCCCGTTGCCATTGCCTTTCCCGTTGTTGTTGCCATTTGCCTCCTGCTTCGACGGTGGTAGAGGACGGACAGGAGGAGGAGGAGACCCCTTGGTGACTCCATATTTTGCGTAATGTTCTGCAACCTGCTCCAGGTACGCAAGACGTGCGGTGTTCTCACACGACTGGTGAAACATGGAAACGATGCGCCGCTCACTCTGCTTGCTGAAGCAACAGCCTTCGCCCTTTAACGCTTCCTTCAAGCTACTCTCCTTCGCCTTTAACAGTGTTTTTCCGGACTTCCACAACAGATCCGCACTGCCGGCTAGGAGGTTGATATTCGAAAGCCAAGCCATAATCCCAGGGGGCTTGGCAGCAATCATTTTCTTCACACTTTCTTCGTCCTCTGGATGGATGAAAAATTTGACCACATGTCTGGGGTGGGACGAAGAAACGTCGAATTCCACCTTCACCTTTGGTTCAACGGCGGCAGCGGAGGTACCTCCTGCTTTGCCTCCAGTCAGCCGCTTGAAGAACTGTCGAAATGCACTCATGTTCTTTTTCTGCGTTGGGTAGCTGTGAGAGAGGAGGAAGTGATGTGACCTTTGAATTGATGAAAAATATATTTCAGAGTTGATGGTGCCCTTCACATACTCTTTGCTCATTTTTATTCTTAGATCGTTTTCAAATTATTTTGATCCCACGGCTGAAATTAAGGAAGAGGTACGTGAAAATTAAAAATCTATCCACCCCATTAAAGCATGACAGACAGATTAGTTGTTATTTGAGATCTTACGGCCATAAAAAAAATACCCGCTAGCTCCTTCAAACCCCGTATCAGCATATCAATTTCCATTTTTGTGTGGGCCCCAGTCCCTTTTCAACTTCGTTGTTACCGTGCCACATTACTCCTTATTTTCATTGTGATTTCCGTGGATTACTAAACATACATGTTTCTTGAGAAATTCTAAGCATTACAATGTCTAGTCTAATAGTGGTTCGAAACCGAGCTCGGTCGGCCTCGTTACGAGTATAATAGATGTGGTGGTGGTGGTGCATAAGATAATAAAAAATGAATACATAAAAGATATTTTATCGAGGTTGAATTATTTCTCCACATCAAAATCATTCCAATGTAAATTGAGGTCTAACGCGGTAATAAAATGAGGCCTGCATATACTTTAGTACCTTAATATGATTTTTTTTTCCCACAACGATATGAATATAAGGCACGTCACATTGAATTTAGGGAGTTTTAACGAAAAACCCGCAATACTGTTCACTTTAACGAAAAATCACATTTTTACACTAAAAAGTCAAACCTAGTACTATTCATTTTACCCTTTGTTTTGTCCTTATCGTTAAAACTCAAAGTTTTCAAGCCTTTTTCATTAGTTTTCTTTAAATTTATGAGAATGAGATATTTTTGTGTCCTCTTCTTTTTTATCAACAATACGATAAATGATGAAAGGTATGAGGTCTAATTTAAGTGAGAGCTAAGACGCATGCGTTGTTCACCTTACCTCTAGTTCACACCCAATGAGAAAAACATCTTCACATTCGATACGTAGGATTTTAGACACGTATCTATTATCCTACATCTTAATTCGACGGCACAAACACACAAAACTATACATGTTGGACAAGACGTGTCCAAAATCATGTTATATATACTAAACTCTAATCAATAATCAGCAAACATAGATAAAAAGATAAAAATTGCGTAAATACTAAATACGTAAATAAATAATGGAATTCGGAGACGGGATTTCACATTTTTTCTCTCATACACTCATCTTAATTTTTGGGAATGAATTGAAGAAGATCAATGAACAAAAATTCACAGGAGTGAGTAAAAAGTAAAAAGACTATGCGAATAGCAAACCCCTTATAATATCCCCAGTTGGTTGAGATAAGTTGTAACTTTTTGACCTTGTTGAGTTTTAACTAGAAGAGCAGTGGTTACTTGTTGGCTTCAATAAATATAAAACAAAAGAAATTTTTATTCGTTTCCGCTATCTATCTATCTCAAACACGAAAAAAAAGTACAAACTAAAAATCAAATAGTTACCAAACGGGTCTTTTAATTTGGTTTTGCTCATATTCGCTATTGTTTCTCCAGCGTCTAGATTTTAATTATTCTTATATGTCATCGAGTTATGCAAGGCGATATTAATTTTTCTCGTCTTTTGGCATTTGATAACCGTTGAACCGTACAAAAATGTTTCGTAGAGTTGGTCTTTTGGAAAGTTGACTAGTAGTGAAAAGTGATGTTGGGATGGATTGGGATATGGCGGGTGGCTAGGTGCTAGTATGTTCCAGTGCAATTACAAAAGGACCGGCAACAATTATTTTTCAAAGGGAGAACATTATTAAATTTTGAGTAAACTGTCGATTTACTCTCTGAACTTTCACCTAACTTTTGATTTCCCTCTGAACTTTGCTATTGGAAAATTAAGGACTTTTAGCCGATTTGCCCCCTACCGTTAGTTTTTCATATATTCCATCCATATTTCCGTTAAGTGAGACCATGTGCACAACATGTGAGGATAGTCAAGTCATTTCACTCTTAAAAATGATTAAAAAACTAAAAACAAATAAATAAGCAAAACTTTCACTCTATTTTTTCTCGCTAATTCTTATCCTTAATTTTATTTTTCCCTCTCATTTATATGCATGAGAAATGACATATGATGTTGGGATGGTGTTATTGTCTTTAGGTTCTAGAGCTTAAAGACAAAGCTACTAGTTCTGCGAAGTTTACAAATCGTCGACCCCGGATTCGGTCACCGTAATTATATTCGTAAAAGTATAAGCACGCCGAATCGACACCAAAGTATAGGGACACAAGTATTCAAAACAAATATATGTCTTGATTGTGAAAGTGGTTCGCCCGTCAGAATGCCAAACTTTAAAACCTACTTGCGAATAACCAATCCTAAACGACTCGGCGTTCAAAGCACCGAGTATAGTAACTTGTAACACCTCGCTTCGCCGAGATGACCTCTGCCGATAAGGATTCGAAAATCCTTCTCGATCAAGACTTGGATATATAACTAGTCGGCCATGTCGCAGTGCTGTTTATCCAAACTGAAGGTGCTCCACGGTTGGCTGATTCTACGGCAACAGTGCTGTTCATCCAAACTGAAGATGTTTGCCGGTTGCCTCCACAATGCTGTTTATCATAACTGAAGATGTGTTGGCGGAAAAGGGAAAACAAAAATCTCAAGGTTGTTTAGAGGTTTCGCGTAGAGCGAGGGTATGCGCAGGGCAATTTGTGTGTTGAATTAGAGAGAGCTTGTTTCGATGTTTTCCCTCCCTATTTATAGCAGCCAACCTGTATTGAATCCCAATCACTCCCGGATTATAACTCTTTTCCCTGATCCAACTTTATCTCGGCCAAATCCTATTCCTACTAGGACTTTGAACATAACTCGTTACCAGGCCGTATTCAATTCCAGCATCTTGATCCTGTCGAAATTCCTTCTCATAACAGGACTCACCCACATCCCCAATTCCCAATGGGATATTGCCAACTTCGACTGCGTAGCCCATGAGCTGAATAATCCCCAACGACACATGTACACGGCCTTTGACCCGAGAAGGATTCTTAACTCGGCCCAACCAACACTGGGCCGAGAACAATTCTAAACTCGACCCAAAACAATATTTTTGGGCCCAAACAAAGAGAAATGGATGTAATCACTAATATTGGCCCTTTTTCTTTTCTCTTATGAACATTTTAACCATCAATATCCAAATTAATCGCCTTGTTTGCGTTTCTTGTTCGTCAAGTCACAGATGTGTATACAAGTGTATTGCCAAACATCAATCAGATCGTCGAGTTATATCAACTCTACATTTAACTCTTGAACACATTTGTTGGCTAGCCAAAAACATTCCTAGGTTACGGCGATGGAGAAAATAACTAAACGCGTGCAAACACATGAAAAAATGCATAAAAATTATATTACAAACTTTGGCCTAAATAATTAGTCTCCATAGCAACACCTTTAACCAAATACAAGGCACAAGTCTTTTTTTTTTTTTTTTTTTTTTTTTAGTACAACGATATATTTTACACTAAGGGGATGGGGAGTTTGGAAGCCACACAATAGGCAACCTAATTTGGTATTGAATTCGTCATCCACGAGATTCGAACCTAAAACATTTCACTCACAAATAAAAAAAATATATCACAAGATCGTAATTCTGAATGACAAGGCACAAGTATACAGTCATTCATAGAAATGGCAAAGAGAGTTGGTCACCATGGAAAATGAAACCTCAGCAATATCTTTAAAAAAAATTAAAAAAAATGATTGTTTGATTTTGTGGGTTGGCACAGAGGGTCAGAGACAGAGCGATCATTACAGCCCCCTATGCTAATGCTATGCGGCGCGCTGAAACATGAAGGCCTTAGGATGGGACCCACCTGTAATCCCCACGGAAAGCTTGTGGACTTCTCTGGTGGTTATTAGTTTTATCTGGGACCGCAAACCTGTCCGTACAGGTATAAGGCAACCTTTCTTCAATGTGCCAATCCCTTACGATCTAATTTGGCTCAAAAATGAGTTTTGAGTTTTAACTCATATTTGCCCCAAGGGTTGAAATAAATTGGGGTAAATTTAGAACCTAAAATTTAAGTTTTACTACAAGGGTTGGAGTAGGTCTTATGGGTTTAGAGTATTGTTTGGTCGCGTTTTCTAAGGTGCGGGCAGCATTTTGCAGACCTTAGAGCAAGTCCACCCCTAAGGACTTTGTGCCAGCACCCAGCGCATTTATCCACTCAAGTAAACAATAATAGACCCCAGTGAACAGTAACAGACCAAAGCATCTCCATCCCTAAAAAAATGCGCTGGCACCCAGCGCATTTATTTGGTGTGTTTTTTTTTTTTTAAGTTTATTTCGGATATGATTTTTAACCAATTTTGGATAAAATTTCAAATAAACTTAAAAAAAAACACATTGAAATAAAATTACATACTCATCAAATAAATTTAAAAAAAACACACTAAAATAAAATTACATAAACTCATCAGATAAACTATAGAAAGAAAAAAATAATTTTTTTTTAAATTTTCTGTATTTTTTAATAATTTTTCTGTATTTTTTAATAAATTTTAATTAAGTTAATTAATATGGACCGTTGATCTTTGATCGGACGGTCCAGTTTAAAAGTAAAATTTAATTTTTTTTTACCGTTGGAAATCCAACGGTCTAGAAAAACTAGCCGTTGGAAATCCAACGGCTATCATAACACCACGTCGCTGAGCCAAGTGGGCTGACACATTTTCAGGAAAGCCTGAAACCCACTCGCGCCTTGCGCGCTTGTGTTGCACGTGCCTGAGAAACAGGCCAGCTTCTTGGTCAGTCCAAAACGTGCTGGGCTATTGCCTGGCATGGGCTGGGTGCCAGGCAACTCCACGGGCTGGAGCAAATGGACTGAGGGCAACTCCACAGGCAACCCTTGGGGCAAATATGAGTTAAAACTCAAAACTCAAAACCCTTGGGGCTATGACTTGTGCTTAATTTGTTTTATTTTATTTATTTTTTTCAAATCAGTGTGAACTCTGAAAAATGACATGTCGTCCTTGGAGCTATGACTTGTGCTCGTCGGCCATGGAGGAGCCACCGTCGGCCACCGCCACGAAACCACCGTCGAGTACGTTTCATTATTTTCTCCCCTCTCTCTCTACCTCTCTCAATTCTGTGAAGTTGTCTGTACAATTTGACCTGATTTGGTTCGTTCGTTCGTTCGTTGTTGAGTAGCAGAAGAGGACTAAGGCTCACACTCAGACTCAGAGCACTGAGGACCATGAGAAACGAGGTCGACCTGCCGATCGGTGACTTCGAAGAAACGAGGTCGACCTGCGCTGGACCTTCCGCCGCAGAAACTCGCCGGTATCTCACCTTGATTGGTACTTCAATTCCCGAACTAATTACGATCGAATAACCATATTGGAAACGCCATTAGAAATTATCCACTAGTTATTAAATAGTTGAGTTGGTTGGTTTGTAATTTCCTTTATGCTTGAGTGCTAGACTGACAAACCTCATTTATTTTCCTCTTGTTCTGCTTCTAAGAGTGCTTCGGGGATACTGTGTTTGGAAAATGCAAGTGTTAGTATCAGCTTTCTATTTAGTTTATTTTCTCTTAAGCTGGTGTTTAGTATTTTGCACTATGCTTTTGCTTTTCGATGATGAGAATCCATTGATTGAGCTTACTGATGATGAAGAGGAGGATGCAACAAACTTGGTACGATACCAATTCCTTGTGCATCTGTTAAAAAGGCTGTAGCCTGTAGGGGAGAGGATTGTTTCCCGCCACTGATAATCGAAAGCCATACTTTGTAAATCATAGCAAAAATGTTGTGTTATCTTTGTCTTGCTTGGTATTTGTCCATGTTAGTCAAAGCATGCTTTCCTTCAAGTTTACTGTCCTGTTTATAGTGTCTTTTTGCCTGCCACAACTCTGCGTGTTGATTTATGTTGGTTTGGACGAAAATATACAAAAGAGGACGCGATTCTGAATTTTCCAGGAAGTATTTGAACACAACAGACGAGATATAACTCTTGCCATCATGAAGAATTACCCGTTACTTCTATGTAAGTTCATGGATGACAAAACAAAAGTACCATCACTTATTGAATATATCGTGCGTATGAATCCTGAGCTACGTTCACTCCACTTGAGTGTCCCTGCGTCACTGAAAAGTGAAAACTTGTTTTTCCTTCCAATTACCAAAATCTGTTGTCATGTCAAGTTTGTTAACTGCTCTACAAGTTCTAGCTTCTGGGGTAGAATTTCTTAATTTCACCAGATTAGGATACCTCTTTGGTTGTGACGGACTTGAGTGATTTTTTTGTCCTTCATTCGTACCCTACGCTGTCCATGCTTGTTTCCTTTTTCTGTTTGCAGCATATTGATAAACACTCTCTCCTTGATTCGGGGATATTGTGCTGTCTCATTCATATTCTCAATGCTCATCTGGATCCTGATGAAGCCAATCAAAAGCAAAAGGCTACTGATCGTGATGAACCATTTCCAACTGAGAAAGATTATGACGGTGATGCAGGTCAGGTCCATCGGCTTGAGGTAGCTTTTACTTAATGGTACATAAAACTACACATGTTTGTTACACATTGACATATGCAAAGTCTGATTTTGAAAACACAGTAGGCTTAATAGCTGTTACGTTGTGTTTGGTATTAGTAGAACCTTGTAGCATTTTGAAGCGCGACATTTTTTGAACATGCCAGGATTTGTTGTTATTCTAACATCTGTCTTTTTCCCTGTTTGAGGTGTATATTTAACATATTTGAACTACAGCCAGTAGTAGCGCGTGGCATTTTTTTCATACTGAACTTAATCTTTGCTTGTACGTTACTGTGCTCTTGTATTTGTTAGGTTATCGGTTCATGGTATGTTTTTAACCTTCTTTTTGTTTCTAACCTATAATTATGCGGGTACATGGGATTGCTGTGCATATTATGAAAGCACTGGCAAACCATACTTTGGCAGCACAAAGTTTGATTGAGGATGATTCTCTTCAGTTGCTCGTTCAGATGGTTGCGAATGGCTCTTTGACAGTCTTCTCTCGACATAAGGAGAGCCCGGTTCTGCTGCACAGCCTTCCCTATTTGTAAAGACATAGTTGGATAGCAACATTTTCCAGAGTCATAATCTTAAATTAGGTTTTAGAACCCGTAATTCGGATTTTGTTTGTGCTAAGTTGTGGTTATCTTTCCAGATTCTTGTTCTTCTCTTGGTCAATGACAACAGGAGCACAGCAAAATATATTTGCAAACATCATCTGGTATGGTAATATATTATATGCGTGATTCTACATATACCATGGGCATCATGGATTTGCCGCTTGTATGTGTGGAAGTATCATATAGACCTGGTAATTGGTTCATCGGCCTTCCTTCTTTTCGTTGAACTAAACATCTATTCCTTGTGCTGTGTTATTTTAATGTGATTTTCTGCAGCCTTAGTATGTCTTGGTTCTGATATGATAACATTTTTAGCCGGTAGAAGCTGGTGGTGTCTGGCTTAGGGAGGATATACGTAATGCCGAACAAAGAAAAGCTCTTTCATATATGTTTCTGAAAGGTACCAAACGTTACTTTCTCATTTGTAGCATCCGACTTCATAGAAAAGAATGAAGGGGGCAGGGAAATGGAAAATGGGAGAGAATCCATTTATTTGATCCTAATGGGAGAGAATTCATTAGGATGTGTTCTGTTTCCTTTTTTGTTACTTTCCATTCATTAGGAGATGTGCTTGGCTGGTAAAAGAACTGGTTCTACTGTATACTCCTCTCTTTTACCAGCTTCTATTGAACGCTTGTTACCTTTCAGAACATATATGTAAGAGTTTTTCTTTGTTAAGTAGTTAGCTCTGATGGTTTCATCCTTTCATCAGGTACATTTCTTTTACTTTATGTCTGTGTGAACCCTTATTTCGATTGAATGTTACTTCTTCCTCCAAAATAAAATAGAAAATAGAGGTCTTATTTTTCCTTGAAATTTACGTTTTCAGAGGACGTGATTGTGGGTCATGAAATGTTGCCATGATGAAGAATGACCTGTTACTTAAGTTCATGGATGACAAAACAAAAGTACCATCACTGATTGAATATATCGTTCGTATGAATATTGAGAGCTACGTTTACTCCACTTTATCGACCTTGTGTCACTGAAAACTTGTTTTTCCTCATTTGATTTTTGTTGGATCCAGTTACCAAAATCGGTTGTCAATGTCATTCATGTCTGAGTTGGAGACCTCTATTTGGTTTTAACTTTGATTTTTTGGTCCTTCATCCGTACCGTATGCTGTTCATACCGTATGCTTTTCATACTTGTTTCCTTTTTCTGTTTGCAGCCTATTGATAACAATCTCTCCCTTGATTCGTGCTGTCTCATTCATATTCTCAATGCCCTTCTGGATCCTGATGAAGCCAATCAAAAGAAAAAGGCTACTGATCGTGATGAACTATTTAAAAGTGAGGAAGATTATGACGGTGATGCAGGTCAAGTCCGTCGGCTTGAGGTGGCTTTAACTTAATGGTACACAAAACCATACATGTTTGTTACACATGGATGTATGCAAAGTAGAACCTTGTAGCATTTTGGATCGTAACATTATTTAAGCATGCCAGGATTTGTTGTTATTCTAACATCATCTCTTCCTCCCTGTTTGAGGTGTATATTTCGCATATTTGAATTACAGCCAGCTACTAGTAGTTGTTTTCATACTGAACTTAATATTTGCTTGTACGTTATTATGCTCTTGACATGCTTAGCAAATTTCAAGCTCCGGTAACATCGGGTAAATAGTGAGCTAAAGGAAGAACTGAAAAATCTGTGCTCTCACGTTTTACAGTAAATTTATAACCGCCCAAAACTGATTCGTGCTGACTTTTGTCAAGTTGGTGCTAATGAAGGAGAGTGAACATTTCCTCTCTAATTGGTGGTTAATATTACTCAACTCTTTATTAAAATTCTAAGTACTAATCCATGCCATTAAGTGTGCCCCGAGAATAGTACGATATTCATTGATAACAGTTATTGTACAAGAGGATAGAGTGCAGAACATAGCGTTATAAAATTTTGTCGAGGCTTTCAACTTAACCAAGAAAAAAAAGTACAACAACCAAGCATTATCCCACTAAATGTGAATCCTAGAAGGCAAGTCTTCCGTTAACTCCAAGTATTCCTTACCTTCCTTTAAGTTCCCCAATTCGTACGTATAGAAAACAAGTGCAGCAAGCTACACCTATATGTAAAGCAAATCGAGCAAGACGGTGTGCATCACCATTAGCTTGACCAATATGGTTAAACCGTAAAATCATCTGCAATGTTATGTCCTGGCATCGACCGCACACCCTCAACCACATGACCAAAAGGGAGAAAGTGGTGTTTCACACCCGATTATTATTTTCACTAACATGCTCAATTGTCAGGACACACGACTGCACTTATTGATACAGAGTCTTGCTCGTGGAAATTGGATGTGTTACAGGAGTTGTCTTCCGCTTACCGCCGGATCGGTTAGTATGGCACTACAACCTTCGGGGTGCTTATACTGTGAGTAGTGGCTATCGGGTGGCTAGGGCGTTGGTACAATCCACCTCGGCGGGCGCGTCTTCGTCCCAAGGGAGTAATGCTTTTTCATTTCTTTATAGAAGTTCGGTGCATTTGGTATCGAAAATCCGTGGACTCGGTCAGTGATGTGTTTTTTGGTAACGTCGTGAATGATGTGTTTTGTTTCTTCTTACATAGGTCTTCCTGCCATTGTAGCAAGAAGCACAATGCTGGCTTCTAAATCCGATTCGGTTGTCCTTCCTTTGGTGGCAAGATATGTGCAAGATATAGATGGTGCCATAAATGCATCCAACTCTGAAGGAGCTGACTTTCTTATGTACGATATTGCCGGACAGGAAAATGTTCTTCTGGCACTCAACAGTCTGTTTAAAACTGTAAAGCTACCAATATTTGTCACGTTCACTTCTTATAACGCCTTATATAAGAAGGAAAATGTGGATGCTCATGATGGTCCCATCGACAGTACAAGTGTTGCTGGTTTTCTTAAATTGGAGAATAGAGAAAAAAAGTTCATAGAAGCAGAAATATCAGTGTTGCTTAAAGCAATAAATGTCATCCAGAAAGCTGCTCCACTGGTGATCATTTAATTAAAGAATTTGGTAGTTAAAGTTAATATTGAGATAATCATAATTTCATTCATTTTTATTCGTATACTTTATGATTAAAAGTGGAATATTGATTTTGAATGACAGATGGAGGAGGTTTCACTTCTCGTTGATGCGGTTTCTCAAATTGATGAGCCATTTTTGCTGGTTATAGTGGTAATTGTGTGCTGAACTTCAACAAATTGTGGTTCCAGGAATATACATTGGCATTAGCTCTATATTTCATGTAAATCCTTCTTTTCTTCATAGTATATAGAATTTAGAATTGAGGTGGCCTTTGATAACAGTTATGCAGTAGTTCGTGAGAATTGCTAATAAAAAAGTTCAGTGATATTTAAATTTGTAAGCCATTATTGGTTTCAAATGCAGACCCGACAAACAGTTTGGTTCTATCATCTATATACCCTTAGCTAACCTTTAGGAATTAACTACACTACGTCTCGTCTGCTATTGTATACGCCTAGGACAATACGTTTGGTCGCATGAGTGGTCATCTTGTCATCTTGCCTTCAATTTGCCAAAGGGCACTAGTTCTTGTTTGGTCTTTGTTTGGATTAATGCTTCCAAACTGACTGTTTTAGAAGTACACCTTAATTTAGTTATTTGTCATGTTTGAGCTAGAAGAATCATGAGGGGAGTATCGTGTCATTTTCTACAGTTGGCTTTATTCATGAACTCTGTCAGAATGTTTATGGTGGTTCTCCTATGACACTTTCTCTCTTTATGTCAACAGGGTGAATTTAACTCAGGCAAGTCAACTGTTATCAATGCCCTTCTCGGGAATAAACATCTCACGGTACACTGAGATGGATGCTGGTGAGGAACAGCGTTGTGAAAGGCATCCAGATGGTCAATATATATGCCACCTTCCTGCTCCAATTCTTAAAGAAGTGAGTAGATTTCAAACTCTTATATTCAGTTCAAATGGTACAATCCCTTATTAATAGGTTTTTTATATGGTTAGTCTGCCTTCGTTTACTTGAATATCATACGTATCATGATGGTTGGATGCACAAGATAAAAAGTTGTGTGTTGCAGGCAGAACAAAAAATCTACTGCACATCTAGTCTATCATCTTCCCAGGATTAGATTAATGCTACTTTATGATTAAAAATACATTTTGTAGTACGTACTTATTTTATTTTAAATTGGACGCAGATGAACGTTGTTGATACACCTGGAACTAATGTGATTCTCCAAAGGCAACAACGCCTTACTGAGGAATTTGTGCCCCGTGCCGATTTGCTTCTTTTTGTCATCTCTGCTGATCGCCCGTTAACTGAAAGTGAGGTATGATTTGTTTTGTTCGTTTTGTTCGTCAAATTGCATGACATGCTGCTCAATGCATCCATAGACTACAAATTGACAAACAAAGATTTCACAGGCTTATATGGTTGCATCTCATTCTTTTTTCCAGGCTTCTTTCTTACAAAAAATAATAATAATAATAATAATTTATACAGAATAACTGGATGCTAGTTAAAATATACATCTCGGAAAGATCATTCCCCTCTATTCGAATGTGATTGATAACAAGGTTTATCGAAGGATTCTCCGTTGGTAGATAATAGTCCAAAGCTGCAAGTAGCTGAGCTATATGGCTAGAAAAACATTGTTGCGGGTCTCAAAGTCTTTTAACTGATTCTGACTTTGGTTAATTATATATGTTAGACTGGTGCAATAGTTTTACCTATTCATTATTTTCACTAAAGCTGAATTCAATTTTGTCACTGGTGTTTTCTCCAGGTTGCGTTTCTTCGTTATACTCAGCAGTGGAAGAAGAAAGTTGTGTTTGTCTTGAATAAATCTGATATCTACCGCAATGCCCATGAGGTTCTAGCATTTCATGCATATTGAATGTTGATATTACCTTTAGTAATCCTATTGCAGAAAAAAAACCTGTTAATATGATGCTTCTATATCAGTTTGAGCTTCTCAATTGTCTTCATGTTGCTTTATCTAATTTCATTATTTCTGCAGCTTGAGGAAGCTATGTCATTCATCGAGAAGAATGCACAAAAACTTTTGAATACTGAACATGTGACTTTATTTCCTGTGTCTGTGCGCTCTGCTCTTGAAGCAAAACTTTCAGCTTCTATGTTTGGGAAAAATTATGCAGAACTATCAACATCTGATGCTCAGTGGAAAAGTAGTAATTTCTCTGAACTTGAGAATTTCTTGTATAGTTTCTTAGACGGGTCAACAAGCATAGGAATGGAAAGAATGAAAATTAAACTGGAAACACCGGTAGCAATTGCAGAAAAGCTACTTTCTGCTTGTGAAACTCTTGTCCCACAGGACTGCCGATATGCCAAGCAGGACTTGGCCTCAATAAATGATATAGTTGGCAGTGTTAAGAACTATGCAGTTAAGATGGAAAAATGAAAGCATAGCTTGGAGAAGAAGAATTTTATCTGTGGTATGTTTTGCACAATTTGATCCAGTGGCAAATTGGTTGTATATTTTCAAACATGAGTTAACGCATTGTGCATGCACATGAAATTGCAGATTGATATTAGCAATTATCAAATCTTGATCTGTTGCTAACTATGTTTTCAAAGGGGAAAAATCCTCCACGATTGCTACCACCTTGAGGGTTCAAAATGACATAATGGGTACTGCATTTTCAGATGCGCAAGTAAGTTAATAGCTTTTTCCCCTATTCCTTTGTCTAGCCCTGCAGTCTAATTTGAATTATGCAAGGATTATGCCTGTATGAGTTCATAAGACAGAATTTCATCTCCTGTTCAGCATAGGAATTAAAAGAATTATATTCTCTAATTGTTTTTCTTCCTTTATCTATTGGTTTTGTGGGTTTTAATTCTTCTTCTTTTTTTTTGTTTAATGTCAACATCTTGTCATAAAGAAACAACTTGGAGAATATGTGACATGGTTGCAATCAGATAGTGCTCGTGAAGGAAGGATGTATGCAGAAATGTTTGAAAAACGTTGGCCTTCATTTGTCTATCCGTACAGTGGGGTGCATTCGGAGAATTCGCTGAAGAAAGTAAACGAACTCAGCTTGAAAGTGAAAGAGGGCTTCAGTACCAGTGCTGCTTCCAAATTGTTTGAGCAAGAAATACGTGAAGTGGTAAGCTCAGTATAGAATATGAACTAAAAGTTGATGTTCTTGATGAAGAACTAGTTATGATTAAGTCAATCTGTTTTGGACATTTTTTGCTTCAACTGCAGTCTCTGGCAACTTTTGGTGGACTTGGAGCGGCAGGTTTATCTGCTTCACTTCTGACATCTGTGCTGCCGACCACATTAGAAGATCTTCTTGCTCTTGGTCTTGCCTCAGCTGGCGGGTAACGTGTATTCTGGAATTTGACTATTCGTGTCTGCCGTCATTTACTTGCAGATATCTTTCAATTCTTGAAGCTTGAGCCTTGAATGTCAAGGTTTTGCTCAAACATGGCAGAACTCCTTTCCTCTGCGACGTATAATTCATGTGTATTATTTGCTTCTTCTTTGATATAGGTTATTAGCAATATCAAAATTTCCAGCTCGTCGGCAAGAGATGATAGAGAAGGTGAAAAGGACTGCAGACGCCTTGGCACGTGAAGTTGAAGAGGCGATGCAGAATGATCTTTCCGAAGCTATTGGAAATATGGAAATCTTCGTGAAGAACGTTAGCCAGCCTTACCAAGATACGGCGCAGCAGAGACTAGACAAACTCCTAGAGCTTCAAGATGAAATATCCAATGTTGATAAACAACTTCAAACACTACGAATCGAAATCCAAAATTTTCACGTATCGTGATCTCCGGTGGAGTTTAGCCGTCCTAGGCAGTTTCACCTTGTAATGAATACATGCAATCCGTAGGGCTTCTTGTTGTAAGATCGTTGTACGGTTTACGTTTGATCTTTTTTCATGTGTTAAAATTTCATCCCCTGATTTGGGGTATTTCAGTGGAATATATTGTTAGTTATCAATAAGAAATATTACATGAAAGTTTGAAGTGAAAGGATGTAAATTTTCTTTGACAGAAAGCCGACTCCAAGCCGACAAGGTTCCTTGCTTGGCGAGTGTCAGGGTGAGCGTTCATCACACGCAACCTTACCCTTGCTTTGCAAATAGGTTATTTTTACGACTCGAACCCGTCACTTTTTGGTCACAAAGGAGTAATCTTTTATGTTGCACCAAGACTCGCCCTTGAAATTTGTTTGACATGCTTAGCAAATTTCAAGCTCCGGTAACATGGGGTAAATAGTGAGCTAAAGGAAGAACTGAAAAACCTGTGCTCTCACGTTTTACAGTAAATTTATAATCGCCCAGAACTGATTCGCGCTGACTTTTGTCAAGTTGGTGCTAATGGAGGAGAGTGAACATTTCCTCTTTAATTGGTGGTTAATATTACTCAACTCTTTATTAAAATTCTAAGTACTGATCCATGCCATTAAGTGTGCCCCGAGAATAGTACGATATTCATTGATAACAGTTATTGTACAAGAGGATAGAATGCAGAATATAGCGTTATAAAATTTTGTCGAGGCTTTCAACTTAACCAAGAAAAAAAAAAGTATAACAACCAAGCATTATCCCACTAAATGTGAATCCTAGAAGGCTACTGTGCTTAATGTTGCGTCAAGTCTTCCGTCAACTCCAAGTATTCCTTACCTTCCTTTAAGTTCCCCAATTCATACGTATAGAAAACAAGTGCAAGCTACACCTCTATGTAAAGCAAATCGAGCAAGACGGTGTGCATCACCATTAGCTTGACCAATATGGTTAAACCGTAAAATCATCTGCAATGTTATGTCCTGGCATCGACCGCACACCCTCAACCACATGACCAAAAGGGAGAAAGTGGTGTTTCACACCCGATTATTATTTTCACTAACATTCTCAATTGTCAGGACACACGACTGCACTTATTGATACAGAGTCTCGCTCGTGGAAATTGGAGGTGTTACAGGAGTTGTTTTCGTCGTCGGAGGAGGTTGGCTTGATTAGGACGATGCCGATCAGCTTCCGCTTACCGCCGAATCGGTTAGTATGGCTCTACAACCTTCGGGGTGCTTTTACGGTGAGTAGTGGCCATCGGGTGGCTAGGGCGTTGGTACAATCCACCTCGGCAGGCGCGTCTTCGTCCGAAGGGAGTAATGCTTTTTCACCTCTCTGGAAGGCCATTTGGAGGGCTAAAATTCCCCCCAAGGTAAAAAATTTTACTTGGAAAATTAGTCAGAACATTATTCCTACTAAAGTTAATCTTGTAAGGAAGGGGGTGCATCTTGATATGGAATGTTGGGCGTGTTCGGGGCATCCCGAAACGGATGGGCATGTGTTTCAGCATTGCATCAACTCATGAGCTCCCACGACCTCTTCATTTCTCTCAGTCGCTAGCCTGGCCCGAGTCAGGTTCAAGAGCCCAAAGGACATGAGCCATACGGCTCGCCTAGCATAGTGCCCCAGCGCCACAATCCACGACCCCGGCCGCACAAGTTGCCCTTGGCTCTAGCCAAGACAAATAGCCCAAGCAGTGGCCCCTGCCACGACGCCTCATCGACCCATGCCGAGCCGACTCCTGGCCCCTGCCAGCCGACGTGCTACACCACTCCAACGGCTACCCCGCAATAGCACTATCCAAGAAGAAGACAAGAAAAAATTAAATTTTTCTTACATCGGTGCGGCACGGAGAAGACGAAGAAATCAACGAAAGACGGTCATTTGCACGGGCAAGATGTAGAAGATTGCTGAAGGGGAACAAATATCCTCTAAGCTCACTCTCTTGTAGGGTAGACTCTCCAAAGTTGATTTAATAACCCACTTAAGGTGGACTTAAATAGGCTTTGAGAGAAATTTATTTCCCTTTCCTAGAAGGACCTAATTTCCTATTAAAGATAGAATCTACATCAAAATAGGAAGCAGTCCTACGTTTCCTAAAGCAAGATCTCTACACCTGCTGCCATTTCCTACGAGCAGCCCAACAGGTGTGGGGGCATTTGTGGAGCCAAAAATAATCACAAGGCAACACGTGGATTTTTGGACAAAAGATGACAAAAATACCCTTGAGGTACAACGAGATTCCTACTCACGAGCAGCGGGCAATCATCCTTCAACCAAATCAAAAGTGCCCAAAATAGATAACAAATTCAAAGTTATTTCATCCATCCTCATCCTATATTTTCCACAAGGTAATTATTTCATAACCTTCAAAACATCCCATATAAATTAAATAACCCCCAAAATATTTATTCAAAAAATGTGTTGATTAACCAATTAATGGATTAATTACCTAATTAATCCATTAAATCACACATTAAACCATAAGTTACACCCTATCCCTATAAATAGGGTCCCATTTTCACCAAAAGATCATTCCAACACACTTGCAAAATTCCCAATACTCTCCAAACACTTTTCTCTCTAAATTTTAACTTTCAGAGATTCTTCGGCCAAAGCCCCTCCATTCATCGTGGGCGCGTGAGGCTCTTGGCCTTGACCCTAAGGTGTTAATTGTTTTATAGGTGCAATTTTGTCCAAGATCAAGGAGGAAGAAATTTGCATCCACAGAAAGTATCTTATAATCCAACCTTTTTCCCATATAAGTTTCAAAAAAGAGTTCCCAACATTAGCTCTCAGCAAGGAAACATATCAGATTAGAGAATATAGATGAACTTAAATTCTTCATTAAAGAGCACGAAAGTTAGGATTCAACATTCAAGCAAGGAAACATATGATGTATACTTCCAAACTAATAGGTTAAAAGATCTACTAAAACACTTGCTCAGAATCCTCAAGAGAAACATTCAGTGCATGCAGGAGAATGTTTGGCATGACCTATTTGATGAAGTTCACATAGCAGGGAAATGGTCAGTTATCTCTGTGCAGGATCCGTCCTATAATTAAAAATAGTAAGTTAAATATACAATTTTATTGACAAATTTTTCGGTAAAATACTAATTAAAAATGTTTAAATAACGATTGTTACCTCGAACAAGACCCCCACAATAGCGATCCAAAAGACATGCTTGAATAAGTAACATCATGGTGTCCTAAAACGCATGTGTTTCATGTCCCACTTCCATGTGATCGTAATCAGTCAAGCAACCAAGGTTTATGCTGCATAAATAATGACCCATAACATAAGTATTATCATATATTTACAAGAAAAAAACAAAAGCAATATATTCTTCTCTCAACTGAAGTTATTGATGCTTACTATTTTTGACCCGTGCCTAAACATCTGAGGGTTGGTTGGGACTAGTAGTGTCCCAATCCACTACGAGGCTAGACATCGAGCCACCAACACTAGGAAATTGGTACGCTAGACGAGCTAGAGCCTCCTCAGGCAAATCTGAAAATTGTCAGTGTGAAAGTCAAAAATCAGTGTATATATTTTTGAGGTAATAAGATATAAGTTTAGACTTTTTACTTACCATCACTTTTAGCCCTCGGAACATTTCTTCCCAGCCCGACCTTAGACCAGCCATGAGGTACACATTCCGACTAATCGAAAGAACTTGGATCTAGTGGTACGTTTGGTCACGACACAAGTTAGTTTAGAATTGACGCCCAAACATATATAGTTTCCCAAATCTTATATTTTAGAAAAATATAGAGAAACGTAAATTTATGATTGAAAAGTGAATTTCACCTGTTTAATTACCGATGCCACCAAATCCTATATTTTTGTGAGACAAGTCATTGTGCTCCTGTCTTCATCATCTGAATTGGTTGAGGAGTCGGTGCACGAAGTCGACATAACGAATAAGATGGAGAAAAGTTTTTCTTTTTTATTCCTGCTCAGGAAATGGAATTGCAGACAAGGAATAATGAATGGCTTCCAAAGAGGCGAAAGAGAAGCTTAAAAGCCCTTCTTTGGGTTATAAATCTGAATATATACTCTCGTTTTAGGGCAAGCTAGCAAAACACTGTTCCCCTGAGTTGTGTCGAGCTTTTGGATGGTTGAGTCGGGCTTCAACATTGGGTTTAGTCCTCTGAATAAATTTGATATGGGCCTTTAAATTGATCTATCAAATATAAATAGTAATTTGATTGAGACCAAGCCTGTAATTCGGGGAAATTCCTTTTGTTTTCGTTTTGAAGTCTCGTCTCCTCCTCCATCACTTTTTTTCTTCTCTCTTTGAAAAAATCAATACACAATGTTGACGTGACTTACGTGACCGTTCAAATAGTTGGGAACTGTAGGAGGATCCTCTAAACGTTCGGACAACCACACTGGCATCGACTCCGACATGTAAGGTTCGGCGTCTGCCCTTAACCTTGACCCTGACCCTGACTGTAACACCCCACCCCCATTTTATTTAAAAATAGTTTTTAATTCTTAATTGATGTGCCCAAAGGGCCCACCTTCTGTTTTTGTGTCCCCCATTCCCGTCACTCTTCCATCTCTCTCAACCTTCATATTCTCTCACTCTCCCTCTCTCTCGACCTCACTCTTCCATCCTCATCGTCAAACCCACACACACACACACCCACCACCACAACCACCCAGCCATGACACCACCATCACCTATGGAACTTTCTTCTCTCTCTCCCTTATCTCGGCGAAGCTCCGGGACACCCAGAGAACACCCAAGTCTCCCTCGACGACTCCGGAGACTTTCGAGGCAATTTTCGGCCAAACCATGGCGAGTTGGCTAGCGTGCAAGGTATCAATCTCTTCATCTCGCTGAGTACTACAATTTTCCTTTTTTTTTCACCCAATTTCGTTGAGTATTGAAGAAGTTATATCCATTTGAATCTTACCCATTTTTCGGCGAGTCTGATGGCTTTCGAGGTGTTTTACGGCCAAACCACGGCAAGTTAGATGTCTTACAAGGTACCATTCTCTTCGTCTCTTCGAGGGCTACGATTTCCATTTTTGAATCACTTAATTTCGTTGAATATTGACAAAGTTATGAATGTTTAAAGTTAGGGAAGTTTCCGGCCGAATTCCGGCCTTTTTCTCCGGTGAGACCAAGAAACCAAGGCCTTCGGGCCTAAACCCATTCGAACCAGGCCCTTTGGGCCATGCTTAAACCCAACCCAACCTCTTTTATTTTATTTTGTTTCTATTTATTTTATTTCAAACCCAAAACAATTGGGTTTGGGCTTTCAAGCCCAATACCTTTCAAACCTTTTTTAGTTTTATTTATTTTGTTTTTGTTTTAAAACCCAAAAGCCTTGGGCCATTTCTGTTAGGACCCTTAGCCCGTTAACCACTAAACCCTTTAAACCTTTTAAACCCATACCCTTTTTAATTATTAAACCCCAAAGCCCTTTGAGACCAAAACCCTATACCCTAGCCGGCTCAAACCTTTTATGTGGAATATTCTGTAAGGGAATATTCTAGGAATATTCTATTGGCTTTTACGAAATTTATCCGGGACCCTTCTTAGGGTAATTCGACGTTTTGAATCCATTTCCAACGTTCGTTTTCCCAAATTCAATTGCTATTATATAGTTTTATTTATTGGACTCTTTATGTGCTTAGGGGCAATTATAGTGGCGTTTCTGTTTTCGCTAGCTGCGTAACTTTTCGACGGCGAAGTACTGTGAGTGGACCCCTTCTAAAAATACATGTTTTGATAGTAGAAATGCATACATGAAAAGCATGATTTGATGATTATGTTCTATGAAACGCTTTGAGATAACATGCTTACTGAGGCTAGTTTGAATTATTACTATTTTTCCTATAAACCGTGTTCTTATAGAATATCCGATGGATGACGATATGATATTTAGAACATGTTTAGAACACTTCTTTATAGTATAGATGATGGATGACTTTATACTATGAAGTTGTTTTTCAATATATATATATGTTCAATGGTTTTGTACTTACCTAGTGGTCATTTCCACTACGGGACATAGGGATAGATTCCGGTTCGTTCCGGGCGACGGTTTGGTGTTGGCATAGGGCTTGGAATGTGTTTCCTCGGGCCATTTAGCACAAGGACGGGGAGCCGGCATGGGGCCTGAATTGTATTTTCCTCTGATTGTCTGCTCAGAGACGGGGAGCCGGCATGGGGCCTGGGGGTTATCAGACAACTCACTAGTGATTATTATATATACAAGTTATGATTTGAGACATTGCACGACATGCTAGGTTTCGGAAAACCTATGTTTATCCTTATATATGTGCTTTCATAAAATTTGGGGGTTAATACGTTGATAACTGTTTTATTATATATATATATATATATATATATATATCAACTTGGTCCACTCATGTTTGTTTTGCGCCCTCTTCAGGACATAGAATCAAGGCATACAATCCTGGCATCCAGGCACTTCCGCATCGGTATCTTCGAGTCCTCTCGGTGTAGGATCCATCCTTTGTTTCATTCAACTTTATACTATTTCTTTTAGTGTTCTAGTTAGTTATATGCTCTGAACATGTTCCTTAAATGCATATTCATTATTCTTTTATATTTTTAAGTCTTATATATCCCTTAATTTTCAGCATTTGCACTCAAGAAATGGCTTTCGTCACCTTAGGGTGTCAGCCAGCACATGCCTATCCTGGTATTCAGGAAATATTGGGATCGGGACGTGTCACCGACGCCATACTCTCTCTCTCTCTCTCTCTCTCTCTCTCTCTGAGATTGCAGATCGATCGCGCTCTTTGTTATCAAATTGATTGTTTGACTTGGAGGCGGAGGTTCTGGGTTCCCTTATATTTATAGGTTTTGGCTTCACCGTTCAGTTTGAGTTGGGTTTCACCGTCCAGTTCGGGTTGGGCTTTTTTTTTTGTTTTTTTTAATTCTCTCAGAATGGTTAGTAGAGTCAATTCCTCTCGTATTTTTTTTTAATCTCTTGTTTACTAGAGTTTTATATAATTTAGAGTTTTGTCAAGGAGAAAACAAGAGTCAATTTCTTGGAAAATCCAATCTGAAATATTGAAATTTCAAGGAAAATAGGAAGAAATAAATGAGGAATCGATAACTAATTTAGGAGCATGTTTATTTATTTGAAATGAGTATGTTTTTTTGTTATTCGTGTACGAAATAATCTACCGTCATGATTTGATATATGATTATTTAGATAATAGTGGTATTAATTTGAGTTATGCCCCGTAGGGAACTTGGACAATAAAGATCAAGTTCAAAGGATGATATTTGGTACAAATAGCATATCCCTAGTAAAAGTATATGAAATTATTTTTTATCGGTATAATGACAGAACAAAGGCCATAACGTTTGTCATACTGAGACGATATATAATGAGACTATTAGTTACAAATATAGTGCTAGTTAGTTTAATAGTATTTTCGGGAGTATATTTTTCTTCATAAATAAGTTTTGCACACTCGTTTACTCCTTTTGCAAGCATTCTTCTTCTTCTTGTTTTTTTTTTTTAGTTTAGATAAAAAAATTAGTTTAAAAGATATAAATAAACAAAAACGTAGACGGAACAAATGGTGTTTGCGGAAATCACTTCCCTTTGGTCTATTTGAACCATGAGGTTTTAAAAACCGTATCATTTAATATCTTTTGTCTATTTGAACGTCTAATCATCCATTAAACTCACGGGTTCTTTTCTAATGTGGTCTAAATATGACTTACACGTTAGTCATATAAGAGTCTCAAGCTCACCACGTCCTCAATTTAATAAATAATCAAACAATTAATCCGACCAAACGCACAAACTTATACAACTTCAACCTTAGAGTGCAATATAAAAAAATTAAAAATTCATAGCCAATTTTTAAAATCACCCCAAATCCAAAGAGTATAAATATAGTCAAGCCAAAATTATAGTTTCAAGATTATAATTTGGAGATTTCTCGACTACAAATTAGCGTAATTCTCTTTTAAAACCTAATTTGAAGAAGAGCGACAACATACATCATACAATCGACGTTCATGCCAACCATATATATATATATATATATAGAGAGAGAGAGAGAGAGAGAGAGAGAGAGAGAGAGAGAGAGAGAGAGAGAGAGAGAGAGAGAGAGAGAGAGAGAGAGAGAGAGAGAGAGAGAGAGAGAGAGAGAGAGAGAGAGATTATAGTAGGGACAAATTGATGGCTTCGTCACGACAGTCCACCCTTCTAGGGGCCGAAAAGACTCACAAAGACATTTCAGCTAGGGGTGGATTTTTTGCCAAATTGCCGTGCCAACCAAATTGCCAACCGTGCCATACCGATTTTGTGCCAAATTTTTCGTACCAATCGGTAATGGTATGGTATTGTACCGTACCGAAATTTCATGGTACGGTATTGGTAATGGATACCATTACCACGGTATTACCATACCATACCGAAAATACAATATAATATATAATTTATAAATTATATAATAGATACTTATATAACACATATTTATAATATTCCAATAATTTGAAAATAAAACCCTACTTATATTAGCATTGTTGTTGGTGACTTTGATCTCTTGAAATTGTGGAAATCAAACACAAAAGAGTTCCTAATTCTTTCACAAATAGCTAAAATATCTTTGTAACCGCCACTTCTACTTTTGCTAGTGAAAATGCATTTAGCCTAGGGAGGAGGGTTGTGGACCCTTTAGGGTATCATTTTATCCTAAAATAATGGAGGCATTAGTGCGTACTAGTGGTTGGCTTAGGGCAGATGAAGTAAACTTCTACAAGGAACCAACGGAAGATATGCTTCAATTTTACAAGGAAATGGAAGAAGAGAAAACAAGAAAGATATGCTTTAATTTTTCTAGTAAATTTGTTATTAAATGGTTTTCAACTTTAATTCTTCTTACTACTAATTAATATGTTTTCTTTGTTTGTAATGTAGGGTTGACACAAACTCAATCTTCTACAAGTTCAATGTCTCCTCCAAAAACTTCGACATCTTAAGTTTGAATAACTGATCAATGA